CCACCTACGCCCTCACCCCATCCCCATCCCCCAATTCCTCACCAACCCACTAAACAACCTCTCCCTCATTCGCTAAGCGGTGGTGAGTGGGTGCGTGTGAAGGTAGGTAAGGGGTCAGATACTTACCCGCTCGATGTGCCCGGCGCTGACAACTTCCGGAGCGTTGGCGCAAACTACCCTCTTCAGGCGGAGTTTGTTCACGTGAAAGGCCGAGCCGTAAAAGTACATCAGGGCCATCGTCGTTGGGAAATAGAAACAGCAGCAGGCCAGTATCCTGAAAAATTCAAGGCTCTCTGTACATACCGATATCGTTTTTCCGACGTTTCCCTTTATTATCTGCCGCGGGATCGCGTGAAAATCTATGACCAATGCATTTTCAGTGCTCGTGAAAAGAGATTCAGATTTGTTTGAACAGATTGGTCATTATTGGTTGTACGTATGTCTATGAGCTTTAATCGACTCGATCAGTATATTATCATTTCTCCAATAACTCTATTGTGAAAAATATATCTAAGTGAAAAATATTGTCTTATCCTCTATCATTGTGACGTAGAGTAATAATAATCTTTCTGACTTATAGGGTTTTGATGAATTTAAATTATACACTCCAGTAAATAAGAATGGTTATATATCAAGCACAAGTGAATTATTTATAAATAATATCGAGTATTTTTAATAATGGCTGAATCATAGCGAAAATTTTAAGGATAAATTTTAATTTTCTTAAAAACTCTTGAGTGTTGTGAGTACTTTATAAGGAAAAGATCTCTAAGAAAATTCTCTAAGCGATGAAAATACTGAAGAAAATAAGTCGGCGATGATAGAAAATGTATGGTTCTGGATAATAAAGTTTTAAAGAAAAGTAAAAATAAATGATAAATTGATCTATTTGTTTGACAACGACACAAAAAAAAAAAAAAAAAAAAAAACATTCGTATTAATCAACTTTAGTAACAAATCGGCTCTATAGAACGAAACGATATATCTTAACGAAAGATTATATCTTCCGAATTAGCGGAAAGGAAAAATGTTGATAAATATACAACTATGGAATGTAAATTAAATTTCAGTTAAATCTTGATATATTATTCATACTATCGTAAGATAGTTAAGAATATTTTTCATCAATAATTTACTTAAAAATCCATCATTCTTTACATTACAAATAAAGTTTTGCTTAATAACTCTGTGATCGATTAAATAAAATAGGAAGAGGATGAATCGAAGATCTTTTATTGTTGAAATTCATGTTTTATTGTTTTGTTTTGTTTTATTGTTTTTATTCTAAAATGTATATATAGACTTTCTTGTTATTTAATAATGTGCCAGTTATCTAAATCCATAAAAAGCTTTACTAAGAGCTGGATACGAACGTAAATATTATAGAAAAACTTCGATTATATTTTAGCGAGTAACATATTTCCTGTAAAGTTGTGTACGTTAAAATTTATATTGGCATTCATACTTCGTTTCATAACTTAACTTTATATTCATATTAAATTTATTAGTACGACGTTTTCTGCAAAAAAGAGAAATTCTTAATTTTAAAAATGATCCAGCCATTATTATTTGCCAACGTATTAACGTGAGATGAGAATTCACTCTCAATAAAGTTAAATGTAACAAGTCTATTTACCGTGGCACATTTCCTGTATAACGTTAAACGAGCCTGTACTTTCAATAATTAAATAATAGAATGTATTGAATTACGTTGGACAATGTTAGTTACGATAAAAACTTTTGCCCTGAATTCATAAATTCATATAAAATCTATCAAATAATGTTTGACTCTTTACGCAAAATATCTCGAAAATGAGAGAGAATTTAAAATGATTCGTAAACTCCGAGGCTTACATCAATATTGCAACAAACAATTGATTATTTACAACAATTACACAATGAGAGGCGGATATTGATTAGGAATACGCCGACGAGCGCATTGCTCTAGTAGTTTTCTAAATCAAATTATCCAATAATGCAGTGATAATCGTTAATTTCAAAGCTCCTGCTTGACAAGCAGTAACAGTAACGCGACATTTCATAATAAAAATTCACGATGAGTCGTAAAGAAAGAAGAAGACAAACAACCAATAGAAAGAATAAAAAGCGAAAGAAAAAAAAATCAAAAAACGAGAAAAATTAAGATTAAAATTAAAAAAGAAGGAGGAAGGGTCGAGTACCTGAGCGATGCCTTGGCGAAGAATGGCTCGCATGCGAGGAGTCCGGTGTCGTTGAAGTAATAGCCGCCCTTGGGTAAGACCAGGGTGCCGAAAATCGCCACACTTGCGATCCACGTCGTGGACATTATGGCCACGCAGCCCTGGCGCATGTAATACTGCAGAGTTGCCCGGGAACATGAGAGAAGATTTAATGGAGGTGAGATTGGGGCCTCGTTGAATGACTGCGATGCCGTTAGGGAATCGCGAAAAGCCTTGTTTAGTCAGTCGATCTATCTTTTAATCTCACTATTATTTACGCTTGTTTGAGAGATCTCCAAGACTATTTCACGGAGGCGTCGACCCAGTCATTACGAGTACAAGCACTTAACGGACAATGGAACTATGCTTTTAAACGTGCATATCTGACATTGCCGATTTAATAAATAATTTATTAAATCATCCGACTTTAACACACGCACGCATACATGCTTATATATATATATATATATATATATATATATATATATATATACATACATAAGTAATATTAAATGGGACTTTTACTATAAAATACATTATAACATACAATGAAATAATAACAATCAACATGACAATTTTTAATTAAAAGCATAATATTTTTTATTTTATAAAAATATAAATATCTATTATAATTTAGTAGCACATGTACGCAACATGCGCACACGGACACGCACACGCATACACGCGCGCGCACACACCATATATATATATATAATAATTTTAAATTATGGAAATTTAGCTATTCAGAGGTAATTTTCTATGTTTCTTCATTTGTAAGCTTTAATTATTACGATATATTTAAGTGATGATAAACTTTGATTTCTGTACGTGACAATTTGTTTAATAAACAATAATGTGTCAAAAAAGAAAAAAAAAAAAAAAAAACACAAATTTTCGTATATTTTTTTTTTCTATAGTATTGAAAAGATTTTGTATAATGTACTTATTATTATTTTTTTTTCAGAAGTTTTGCTTTCTGAAATTTTAATTAAAATTATCGTATTTAAAAAAGATAATAAATTTAAATTTTATCTTAAATTTTTTTTTCGTACTATTTTATAAGAGAATATTTATGTTCTTGTAAGTTACTTTATAAGTTATCCATATTCTCGACACAAGGACTAATATATCGATTTATAATATACTAATGCGTTTATATAAATTCTTTACCTTTAAAGATTATTATGAAATACTATTTCCTAACGATATAATTTGTCTACTTATGAAGTAGTTTTAACGACTTAAGCTGACGATGCCGTTAGTTTAATTTTATTTTTTATACCGAGCAGCCTCGTTAACATTGTCTTTAATAATACGATAGTAAAAGTTCTTGCAAGTAAAGTATGATATAATTATAAATTTAGCTTTGGTGACTTCATTGCTTTAAAGCTCAAAGACTTTGAAAAACTTTTAAATAACTTAATACATAGTTCTTCCATTTAATTATTAAGAATTACAGAATGGGCTTCACAAAAATTAATTTTCATACACACATACATACTCACATTTTATATAATATAATTATTTACATATAAAATTATTTTATAATATATATTAAGTATATACAATTATGTATAAATATATTATTAATTATATATTTACGTGCATATATTTTATATAATTAACATTTATCATTATAATATTAATGAATTATTATAAGATTTGTTATATATATATATATATATATATATATATATGTAAATACAATATTAAGTTTTTATTTATTTGTGATAACTGATAAATATTTTATACTTTACCAATGAAAAATTAAAATTAATTGAAAGACGAATTTATTTTTTACTTTAATTTAATGTCATCTCATTGATATTAGTAATATAGTTAAATATAATATAAATAACATAAGAAGTACAATTTATTGTTTTTATTTTAAGTTCAACCATAAATACTGAAAGCGTCGTCTATTGAATTGAAGAAGTTATATGCATTAAAAAAAGTTGAGAGTTCAGGGAATATTTACCAAAAATCATGAATATGTTTTATGTGACATTTGTAATTAAAATTTTAAATGTTTACGTTGTCGAAACTCACATAAATTTAACCATTATATTTTTTACGATGCACTAGCGCTAGTTTAAATTATTTAACGTATTCAAAGTGGTTTTCTCAATTTACAATATATTACTCGGTAATTAATTATAGTCTGAGATTTTTTTTTTTATATTAATTTAATAATAATATATAAATATTTAAAAATTGTACTTTTATACTTACAATTAGTCATTTCTTTTTCTAGCCAATTTTTCAAAGGTCATTTTCAAAATTTTAAGTTATTTCTATAAGACATGGGTTTTTTTTTTGTTGAAGTTATTTATTAAGTATCTAGTTATTGCATATTTACATTTAATTATTCAAAATATTTGCAAATAATAATTTCTATTTTGTTAAAATATACTATTAATACAAATTATGTTTAAATTTAATTTCAGTATTATGAGTAATCGATCCTTTAATATTATATTAGTTTAATTGAAAAAAATATTTTCCCATTATCGATAAATCAATTTAATCAATTTTTTTGTTCTAAAGATAATGTAATTAAAATTTGTTGTTAAAGTATGAATTGTGTAAGTATTATTGTGCGTATATTGTAACAATCTATATCGAATCACCAGAGTTGTGTATTTAAATTTTATAAATGATGTTGAGTACAAGGCTAATTAATAATATGTAAATAATTATATGATCTTGGATTTTATTTATATATATATATATATATAGGAACGAAACAGATGGTGACTAGGTTACTTGTTATTCATAAATGAATATCATCATTGTATTAATTTATATTATTATTATTCTATTGTATTCTGTATGGATTCAGTTTATGGCTTAACATTGTCTATGCATTTTTGCCAACTATAGGCTGAACCTTAGACGAAATAGTAATTTTCCTTTTAAATGGTGATTAAATTTTTATAGTCTTAATAGGCTTTTAAGCACATTTATTATTAAATTTGTACGTAACGCTATCAATTAAAGATAAACGATTGACTTTTCGTCAGAAGTATATTTACTAGCATTTCAGATAGATAATACCGATACGGAATTGTTTATGCTTATTAAGTTTACCTCCATAAAAATTAAATATAAAGTTATATTAAAACATAATTTACAATTGCGTAACTGCAACAGTAAGAAAAGCTTATATATATATATATATATATATATATATATATATATTAATTCTATTTTCATTTGATCGTTCGATTTGTTTTATTTTCAACTATTCAAAATATAAAACTATTACATTGTTAATAATTAACATGGTAATTTTATTGTTTTATAAAATTAAATTATGTTATGTGACGTTCAAATGTATATATCTTATATTTAACGATATTTTTTTTTTTTTATTAAATATTAGTAATGATGTTGAATGGAATTTAATATACGCTAAAAGATTTTTTCTAATAGCTTAATAATGTAAATGCATATTAAACATTATTTGAAGTATTAAATTTTATATTTCGTATAAATTTGATGTCATTTAATAATATCTTAGAACATTATTATAAACATTAATATTGCAATAATTGTTCGTTGGTGAAATTAATATAATTAAAATAAATATGAATATGAAAAGGATCAATGTAGAAATGTTTAAAAATGTATTAGACTCCAAAATGAAATTCGTATAATAATTAAATATATAAAGCAAACTATTATTACTAATATTTATTCCCATAGTTTTTTTTGTTTTTGTTTTTGTTTTCTCTTTATATACGATCAATTAACTAAATTACTTCTCTTTATCCTATCGAAAACTACAGAGGATGCTTAATTATTATGATTAGTCATATCAATTAAAATAAATGACTTTAATTAAAATGAGAAAAGTTAAATTACAGTAAAATAGTATTTTTAATTTCAAGAAAAAGCAAGAGAAGAAATTTATCTTTATAGTACATAGGGCTTAGCTACGGATAAGTACAATTACAAAGCTTTAGTACTTGTAGTCAAGTTCTTCTACCTTTTGTATTCCTTTATATTACAAATTATCCACTTGGATGTCACTCACTATAAATATCACGATACAAATACAAATTATTTGTAAGAAAAGCGTACTTACTGTTCATGAAATGTCGATAATGTAAATAAAACGTATTATGCAATCTAAATAATAACTTTAACATGCATGAAGGTGTATTAATTTAGTTATTAATCATTTTTCAAATAATGTCATGGTAAATGTATGGTATAAAACTGGTCCATCGCTCTCATATAATTCAACGGCTTATTCGTCATAATTATATGCCACACAGTCAATTTCTTTCTCCACGAATTATCCAGCTTTTCCCAGAATAGAGGAAATCCAAGTATCCCAGTAATGCACCAAGTATGAAATCGCCCCGTGGAACTTTGGATCCACATACATCTTGCCTCGTGTAACAATCGGTAAGTGCAACTGTCCTTTTTCGCGGTGAAGTGAACCGTACTAGTCCCGATAACAGTTAGTTACTTGACTCGCGGACGAGTATTTCACTTATGCGTAACGATATCAGGGCCATTAAGGCACTCGGGTCAGTGTTAGGCTCGAGCTTCGAGTTTCAATTGCTCTCGACGTTCGGCCTCTTATCGCTGTCACTTTCACAATTCCGTCGCATTATTCTTTTTCACAGAAACAGAGAATTTTATTCATTCGGCATTTCGCCCTCGGTGCACATTGTCACTCTGACGCGTTTTGTTAGATTTTTCATCTTCTCTCTTTTGTCTTTTTATTTTATTTATTTTGTTTGTTTGTTTGTTTGTTTGTTTGTTTGTTTGTTTTTTTCTTTATTGGAGGGCGATGGTCAATTTCACGCGCTTGTTGAGTGCACGACGAGTGTTAACGACCCGTTTCAACGATGATTTTTCAGTTGTCCTCGCTCTCCATGTTTTCGCGCTTTTATTGCTTTTTCCGAGGTAGTCGATCATTATTTGCTCGGTTAAAGGATTTAATTTTATTTGAAAGTAAGAGTAAAGGATTCACTTTTTAATTCCTTTATAATTTTGTCAGGAAAATTTAGTTAGGAAAGTTTATTCATAATATTAGTAATATTTAGCAATATACTGAGTATTTAAATTTCAATATTTCAAAATCATCATATTTACGTTTTTCCAATGATTTACAAAGTTT